GGAGCAAAAGGTTGCTACGCCGCTGTTTTGTGATAGCAAGGGAGCTCTTGGGATGGCCAGGAACGCTGTGCTTCATGGGCTCAAGGACCCTTGGAGGTGACCCCGAGGAGAGGTTTTAAGTGTGATAAAGTCTTAATAGCTTGAGTTTATTAGGCCCTTACACCAACAAGTTCCAACCACAAGCGTAAGTAACAGATACTCTTAGTACCAACAACATGGGCAAACAACTCACTTACTCTTAGTACCAACCACATGGTAAATAACGCACTTAGTCTTAGTACCAACTACATGGATAAGTAACGGACGTACTCCTAGTACCACCCATACATGTAAGAAACGCACTTACTCATAGTACCAATTACAAGGGTAAGTAACTCACTTACTTTTAATACCAACCATACTCTTGGTGTTAGCTATATGGTTACGTAACTCACGTACTCTCAGTACCAACCACATAAGTTTGTAACGCATTTGCTATGAGTACAAATCATAAGAGTAATTAACACACCTACTCTTAGTCCGAATCACATGGATAACTAACGCACTGAATCTTTGTACCAACCACATGGGTAAGTAACGCACTTATTCTTAGTACCAACTACATGGGTAAGTAACACACTTACTCTTAATACCAACCATATGGTTAAGTAATGCACCTAATCTTAGTACCAACTACGTTGGTAAGCATCGTTCTTAAACTTAGTACCAACCACATGGGTAAGTAGCGCACATAATCTTAGTACCCACTACATGCATATCTAACGAACTTATTACCAACCACATGCATATCGTAGTACGAACAACATGGGTAAGTAATGCATTTTCGCTTAGTACCATCCACACGGGTAAGTAACGCACTTACTCTTAGTACCAACTACATGGGTAAGCATCGCAGTTAGTCTTAGTACCGACAAAACGGGTCAGGAAGACATTGATTCTAATTGCCAACCAGATTGATAAGTAACGCACGTTTCCCTAGTACCAACCAGATGGGTTAGTAACGCACCTACTATTAGTACCAACAATATGAGTAAGTGACGCATTTACGTTTAAAACTAACCGCATCCATCACTAACCCTGTTACTATTCGTACAAAACGTAGGAGTAAGTAATGCTGTTACTATTGGTACCAACCATATGGTTAAGTAACGTATTTATTCTTAGTACCAACCACATCGGTACGTAAAGCATTTACTCTTAGTATCAACCATATGGGTAAGTAATGCTCTGTGTACCAACAACACGAATGTACAACCTTTACTCTTAAAACCAACAACATGGTTATGTAACGCACGTACTCTTAGTACCAACGACAACATATAAGAAACATTTTTACTGCTAGAACCAACATCGTGGGTAAGTAACGCACAAATTCTTAAAGGCCTATGTTTCAATCGACAGTTGAACCGATTTGCTAATTGGTCCACTTCACTGGTTGGACCAAGTAGCCTGTTGGTCCAATAGACCAGTTGGACCGCGTGGCCTAGTGGTCCATGGGACCGATGAACCACCTGGCCTGTTGGTCCAATGGGCCAGTTGGACCAACTAGCCTGTTGGTCCAATGGGCCAGCTGGACCAACTGGACTGTCGGTCCAAAGGACTGGTTGGATAACCTGGACTTTTGGTCCAATGGACCGTTTGGACCAGCTGGACAATTGGTCGCTTGGACCGGTTGAACGAACTGGCCTGTTGGTTTAATGGACTGGCTGGCCTGTTGGTCCACTAGACCGGTTGGACCAACTTGCCTGTTGGTCCAGTGGACCGGTTAGACGAACTGGTCTAATGGTCAGGTGGACCGGTTGGACCAACTGGGCTGTTGGTCCACTGGACCGGTTGGACCAACTGGTCTATTATTCCAGGAGACTAATTGAACCAACTAGCCTGTAGACCCAGAAATAGGTTGGACCAATTGGCCTGTTGGTCCAATGGCCGGTTGGACCAACTGGCCACTCAATCCATTGGATCGGTTGGACCAACTGGTCTATCGTTCCAGGAGACTGATTGAACCAACTAGCCTGTAGGTCCAGAAATAGGTTGGACCAATTGGCCTGTTGGGCCAATAGTCCGGATGGACCAACTGACTTATTAGTCCAGTGGACCCGTTGGACCAACTGCCTGTTGGTCTTGTCAACGGGAGTGTTGTTTGGCCCCGTCCTCGCTTGGGCGGAGCCGACTTCGTGGTCGGGTGTGAGGGGAGCAGCCGACCTGCAGCAGTGGGCACGGGGGCCACTGCAAGGGCGCCGAGCTGGAGGGCGCCTGGGTGGAGGGCGCCGAACAGGAGGACGCCGTTCTGGACGCCTGGTTGGCGTCCTGGACGCTTGGACGGCATCCTGGGAAGCTGGACGCCGACCTCGGCGTCGGCACTACTACCCAGGCGCCTGGTCGACGTCGTGGGTGCCTGCACGGCATCCTGGAAGGCCAGACGCCAACCTAGGCGTCTGCACGGCGTCCTAGGAGCCTTGGATGCTGCCCTGGGCGTCTGATCGGCGTCTTGGGAGGCTGGACGCCGCTCTGGAGGTCTGCACGGTGTCGTGGGCGCCTGGACGCCGGACTGGGGACGCCGGGCATTGGTGGCCGGCTACGGACTGCGCTGGTCGACCAGGCGTGGTTGCCCGGTCGACCGGGATACCCGGGCGACGTGCGCGAGTGTCGCCGGGGTGGAGTCTGCGAAGCCGACCTCGGGGGTGGTATCCCGAGGTCGACATGGCAGGTGGGCGCAGTCGCTGGCGTGGAGTCTGCCAGGCGTCTGCGCTGTGCTCGTGACAAGGCGTGGAGCGCCAACCAGTTGCGCGCACCTGCGAAGCAGGTGCACCGTTGTCCAGCAGGTGCAACGCTGTGCAGCCGACTTGCTGCAGCGTTGGCACACCGTGGACTTGCAACGCTGGCAAACCGCTACTCTGCAACGCTAGAGCGGTGCGAGCGCAGCTGCGCTGGAGGGCGGTCGACCATGCTACGCTGCAGGTCGACCAGCAGCCTAGCTAGCTCTGATGTAGTCTGTGATGCCAATGTTGTTGCAATAATTGTTGTCAACTTTTCTCTAGTGAAACTCTTGCCAACTTGCCCCGTGAACTAGCAAGCAGTATGTGCACTAGGAAAACGACTAAGGACCAACGAACGCAGAGATCACACGAGCATCCGTGCCTAGCCTGTAGTCTAGCTCCCGTTGTAGCAGTTATCTCTGCATGGAGCGGCGAGCGTGGATGGCACACGACTTACCTTTCAGTCAGGTCGACGTAGAGGTCACATACCTAAGTTGCTCGTATGCCGGCAGCCGTACAGGTCCCTAACGTGCGCGTAGGTGACGCCAAGGTGATGGACACCCTGGAGGGACAGCTGGAGGATCTGAGGAGACGCCATGAGGCCCAGGAGTACGGGGCGATACCCTGGGCAGTCTTCGAGGCTGGACTCCGCACCATGTGGGCGATGGAGCATCCCCCTTCTTGACCGGCTTCTCCTCGACCGGTGACCAACGAAGGCGGCGTTGACGTGGGCGTCAACGCCGGAGGTGGCCAAGTCGACAGCAGTGCGGGAGGCACGTCGAGGCAGCGTCGTGTGATTCACGCCGATGAAGTCGGCAGCGTTCAGGTGCGAGGACTGCAGTCGTCGGCGGCTGCAGGCCCCTCGCAGGGTGACGTCGGAGGTTGACGAAGCAGACTGTCGCCGATGTCGGCGACACATGTGACGCGGGCGGGATAGCACCAAGCTACGGCTACTTCAAGTTTACGCCGGACAGGATCTTGGTCACCCCGCCACTCACCGATCGACTTGACATTCTCACCTGGAAGGAGGCCATCGAGCCTCAGCTGGAGATGGCCGGGCTGATTAGCTTTGCTCGAGGCACCGTGGCAATGTCGGACAACCCTGATTTGCGTGCGGAGTTTCGCGCCGTGCAGCTGTTGACCTTCACGGTCATCTCGCGGTGCTGCTCGCCTGGGGTGCAGATAGCCTGGAGTGCAGATCGCATTGAAGTGGTGCCGAGAATACCTCGACGCCGGCTACCGGGCGTGGCACTTCATCGAGTCGACCTACCAAGTCACCGACGACTTGTTCATCGCCCAGATGGAGGGGCAGCTGACGCACCTGCGTATGGGCGACGAGGAGACGGTGACCAACTACTGCAACCGGGCCCGGCAAATTCTCGCCACCATCAGGATGGCCGGCGCGCAGTACTCGACTGCGTCGTATGTCACCCACGTCATGCAGGGACTCTCGAGCAGCTACAACCTGCTAAAGTGGATGTCGATGGCGCCGAGCACGAGGTCAACGCTCAACGAAGACAACTTGACCTCGTACATCCTGCAGGACGAGGCAATGCAGGAAGCTGAGCGGTCCCAGGAGCTCTTGGCGCAGGCGAACTTCGTCGCCCCATCGAAGCAAGGAGGCGGACCGGGGCAGCGCGGACAGTCTGGCGGCGGTGGCAGCAGTGGCTGGAAGCCGGCCAAGGAGGTCGACAAGAAGAAGTCAACCAGGGACAGCGGTCGGGGAGGAGGAGGTCGACGTCGGGAGTGCTGGCTGTGCGGCGACCCCGACCATCTCTCCTTCGAGTGCCCCAACCGAAGTGACTCTGACGAGGACGACGCCAAGCGAGGCCGCGGGAGGTCTGGCAGTCATCGTCCTCGTCGAGGAGAAAACAAGCCGCGCAAGGAGAAGCAGTCGACGACGTCGACCTCGGCGAAGGACGCCGACTCCTCTGCAGGCGGCAAGGGGCGGGACGACAAGTCGGCGTCGTGCTCGTTGGTCGGCGTCGTGGAGCCAACCGTCTCGCTGGCGCCGGAGGCAGGAGAAGACTTCCGGGCGGTGGCGGCAGCTGTGCGACGAACCCGGCGGTGGTCCTGCTCGACAGCGGCTGCTCCCATCATCTGATGGGGACGAAGGAAGGCTACGTCGACCTGCACCCGAGCGGCCCCATTAAGCACGTGTGCGGCTTTAATGGGGCGCTGCAGGACGTCCAGGGCCAAAGCACCGTCGCCCTGCAAGGGTAGGCCGGGAAGCAGGTGCTCATGCCCGACGTGCTGTACGTCCCGGGTGTGCGGGCTAACCTGCTGTCGTCCGGCCAGCTGAAGGAGCACGGCGTGAAGCTACAGGAGGACGGAGACGGAATGCTGCTCGTCTCGGCAGCTGGAGAGGTGCTTGGTCGGGCAACGTACTCCGGGCAAGTCCTCTGCACCGACCTGCGTCCCTGCTCAACGACGCCGACGTCGACCACGCCGGAGGTTGTGGCCCTGCGGGCGATCGTCTCGAAGACGAAGTCGACGCCGGACAGGATGCATGCGAGGCTTGCACACGTCGGCATGGACACCATTCGGAGCTCGGCGAAGAACGAGGTCGCCGTTGGGCTGGACATAAAGTCGGCGACGGGCGCCGACTCACCGTGTGTCTCATGCGTCGGCGGGAAGCTAGCGCGGCACACCTTCCCCGACCAAGGCTCCGACGCCGACGACGTGCTGTCCGTCGTGCACATCGACCTGTGCAGGCCGTTCCGCGTGGCTGCCAAGGACGGCAGCTTGTACTTCCTGCTGCTGATGGACCGCAAGACCCGCTACGTGTTGGTGACGCCGGTCGCCAAGAAGTCGGACGTGCTGCTGGAGTTCGAGAAGTGGCTGGTGGTGGTGGAGAGGCAGACGAAGAAGTCGGTGCTGATGCTTCGCTTCGACCGAGGAGGGGAGTTCCTCGGGAAGACGTTCACCGACTTCGTGGACGGAAAGCGGATCGTCTACGACCTTATCTGTCCGTACACCCCGCAGCAGAACGGCATGGCGGAGTGGAAGATGAGGACGGTGGTGGAGTCAGTGCGGACGATGCTGCTGCACATGGGCGTGCAGCACCATTGGTGGCACCTCGCTCTGCGGCAGGCCGTCTGGGTCCGCAACTGCCTTGAGAGGTCGACGCTGCCACCGGGGACGACGCCGTACCAGCTGCTGACCGGGCAGAAGCCCGACTTGTCGATGGCGCGGGTGTGGGTTTGCATGGCTCAGTTCCTTGTCCCCGAGCAGCAGCATGGTGGGAAGCTGAAGCTGAAGGCCAGGTGGGGCCTTCACCTTGGTGTGTCGGCGGCGAGCAAGGGTTGGGAGCTCTTCGACATTGACGCCTACCGGGTGGTCACCACATCGGACGTGGTGTTCTACGAGGATATGTCGCTGGAGGTGTAGAAGTCGGAGCACAGGCCGGTGTCAGGTCGGACGCCGACCACCCCAGCGACCGATACCTCGTCGGCGATGCTGGCTCTGCTCGCCGAGGTTGGTGAGCTTGCTGCTGAGGACATCGAGGACGTCCGCCCCCCTTCTTCTTCCCCTACGACCCCCACCCCTCCTTCATGGCCGACTTGCACGAGCTGACTCTTATGTCCGCCTCCGGCGATGAGGGGAGTAGTGGGACGTCGCCTTCGGCGCCGGCCAAGGGCATCTCCGGTGGCCGACGTGACGAGAGGCAGGTCGACGTGGGATTGAAGCCGACGTCGACAGAGAGGAGCAGGTCGAGGAGCAGCAGCCGACAGGGGAGCAGGCAGCAGTGCAGCCGACCGCGGAGCAGTCGGCAACCAGGCAGTCGGCAGGGAAGCCGACCACAGGGAAGAGGTCGACCGAGGTGCAGCAGGACGACGAGGGCAGCGAAGCCGGTGACGAAGGAGAGTCCACCAAGAGTGACGTGGTGGAGGTTCGGCCGGAACCCGGGAAGTCAGGCCGAGTTCGGAGGCCACCGGACTTCTTCGTCCCCGCTGCCTTCACCACGGTGTACGATGTGGACGATGACAACCTGCTGTACGACGACGCCGAGGAGAATGAGGAGTTTCCGGAGCTCGACCCAGAGCACCGTTCGGACATCTCGACGATGACGGTGAAGGAGGCTTTGGCGAGCTGGAAGGGCCCGGCGGTGAAGGCCGCCATGGAGGAGGAGATTCGCAGCCTCATCAACATGGGCACTGGGAGCTGGTCGAACGCCCGCCGCGCCCTGGTCGTGAAGGGCTTCACCCAGGTGTATGGCGCTGACTACGACGAGACGTCCGCGCCGGTGGGCAGCTACGTCACGCTGAGGATCTCCCTCAGCATTGTCGCCGTCCTCAACCTCAACCTGATGCAGCTCGACATGAAGAACGCCTTCCTGCAGAGCAAGCTCGACCGGGTGCTCTACATGTCCCAGCCGGAATACTTCAACGACGGAACCGGCCGGGTGTCCAAGCTGCTGAAGAGCCTGTACCGGCTGAAGCAGTCGCCGCTGCTGTGGTACTTGGCGCTCAACGACGTGCTGGTCGGCGCCGGGTGGAAGAAGAGCCAGGTCGACGAGGCTCTCTACTTCAAGGTCGGTGACGACGGAGTGGCCTGTTGGGTGCTGGTCTACGTCGACGACCTGCTCGCCGCAAGCAGCAGCACCGAGATGCTGAAGGAGCTGAAGGAGCTGCTGGAGTCCGCCTTCGAGCTGCGTGAGATTTCGCCGGTGCAGAAGTACCTTGGGCTGGAGATCGTCCGCGACAGGTCGGCGGGGAAGCTGTGGCTACACCAGCAGGGCTACACCGACAAACTGCGTAGGCGCTTCATCGACCGAGCGCACCCAGAAGACGCCGGTCTCGGTCGACGCCTACGCCGAGCTCACCTTCGATGACGAGAAGGCACAGGAGCGACAGGAGGAGGAGTACCGGCAACAAGTCGGCTCGCTGCAGTTCGCGACGACAACGACGAGGCCAGACATCGCCTTCGCCTGCAGCAAGCTGGGGAGCGGCCTCACAGTAAGGAGCAACCAGCACTGGCGCGAGGTTGACCGCTGCCTCGCCTACCTCGCCAACACGCGTGACATCGCCCTGGAGTTCGGCGGTGGGCCTGAGTCGCTGGAGCTGATCGGCTACATGGACGCCGATGACGCCGATGACAAGCAGAACAGGAAGAGCACTGGCAGCTACGTATTTGTCTACGGTGGGGCCGCAGTCTCCTCGTCGAGCCAGCGCATCAAGTGCGCGACGTTATCGTCGACCGAGTCGGAGTACGTGGCGGCCACTGAAGCCGGTAAAGAGGGACGCTGACTTCGTTTCCTCCTTGCAGAGTTCCGGCAGCTGGACGCCGGGAAGCCGACTGTCCTGCGAGTGGACAACAAGTCGGCCATCACGGTCGCCGAGGGCATGGGGTTGACAGGCAACCTCAAGCACATGGAGCGGCAACAGGCCTGCCTGCAGCACATGGTGAAGCGCGGGAAGTTCTTGTTGGTGTAAGGGCTTAATAAACTCAAGCTATTAAGACTTTATCAAACTTAAAACCTCTCCTCGGGGTCACCTCCAAGGGTCCTTGGGTGCCTGGTACAAGACCAGCCCCTATCCTCGGGTCCGAGTTTGTAGAGAGAGGGATCAAGAATGACTTAGTCAAAATAACAAGAGTACCTTGAACGTCGCGCAGCATATCGTGCAGACCGTCGACCGGATTAAGCTGAGAATTTCCTATATCGAAGCTCACTTTAAGAGCTTTAAAATAAGCCAAGTTGCCTTGCGAAAAGTTCTGCCATTACAAAGTTATGGCTCGGACAGCGTTTGCCTAGCGTTAGAGTGCTAGCCTACTAGCGTTGACTCGGGTAGCATTCCGCCGTCGCACCGCGTAGAAACGAATTTCCAGGAAGGGAGGAATTCGCTTGAATCAAATTGACTATATTCAGGCACAAACAGAGAAGGAAAATATAGTTCTAGCTTGCAAGGACCTTGGGAATCAATCTGGGAACAACTAGGGATGATCCCAAATAATTCCAAGCAGCAGAACCAACCTGGCTGAACAAAACAGCAGGTGGTAGGTTGGTAAACAACCTCTGGTTCTGTTTTTCCAACCTGGGAAAACAACAACCAGGTTCAGGTTCCTAAAAAACAGAACCTGATTTGTCTTTGCCCAACCAGCCAAATGCTGGTTCCGCTGGTTTCCCCTGGCCCTGTAGCATGCAGATACAGACAAACAACATCCAACCTTCACCTAAATTGTACCCCTATAGTGCCTGCCCTGCTACATTATAGTCTACCAAACAAAACAGTACAATTTCGAGTTGGATAGAACTGAATCTGTACAATCAATTCAACCGAACAGCAAAGCTTCCATCTTGGGTTCCTTTGCGAGCTCGTTCTTTCTGCTTGTACTGTTCATAGTGTGTACAATGTTGTGCCGAAGCGCACAATGCGCGAGTACCTGCAAATGCTTCAAGCAAAAATTGCGAAAGCAAAAAAACACACGAACATTCCATTCACACCCAAATGCATTCGCACACGCATACTTATACAAACAGACAGCAGGATGTCGTGCAACGTGAATTTGCACCCAACACACTCTCCCTCAGCCTGCCGGCTGCATCCCCATCATTCCACACTAGTTCATGCTCATTCCACTCATGCGCACACAATGCCAATGAGGCTCATCCGCAAGCCTCTTGGTGAGGAAGTCTGCTGGCTGCTGGTGAGTCTTGATGTAGATCGGATTCACCGTCCCCCTCTTCACCTCGTTACGCAACCAGTGCCACTTGATACGCATGTGCTTGTTCAGCCTATGAAGCACAGCGTTCCTGGTTATCCCAAGAGCTCCCTTGCTATCACAAAACAGCGGTGTAGCAACCTTTTGCTCCTGGCCAATCTCCTCTAACAGCCTCCTCAGCCAAGTCACCTCCTTCATCCCAAGGAACATCGCCATGTACTCTGATTCCACAGAAGAGAATGCTGTCTCCGTCTGCTTCTTTGACCTCCAACTAACAGGTCCTCCTCCAACTACGCACATGTATCCTCCCACAGATGAGGAATGGTCCTTCTCAGAGGCCCACGTAGCATCGGTAAAGCAAGTGAGAAAGAGCTTGCCTTCTCCAAGCCTCTCCCCCTTCTCTTTCAGCACCTCAACCCCTTTCTGCTTCACCTGTGCAGATGTGGAGTATTGAACTTTAATGCTTGGGTGAGAGTTCAGATACTTCACCACACGCTCAGCTGCATCCACCTGCTCCTCTGATGGATTCTGCACCACCCTAGCCAGCTGCCCAATCGAGAAAGAGATGTCGGGCCTTGTGTGAACTGCTGCATACAAGAGGCTGCCCACCAAGGACTGAAATTGCTGCTGCTCCTCGGCTTCAACCCCTTCATCCTCTGCAGCTTTCACAAGCTTGAATTCTGCTGACAGGGGAGTTGCAACTTTGCGCTCATTCTCAATCCCGTACTTCTCCCCCAGCTCCTTGATGAACTTCTCCTGGTGCAGCTTCAACCACCTGTGATCCAGATCCCTCTCCACATGCATCCCGAGGTAGTACTTTACCTCCCCAAGGTTCTTGCACTTGAAGTTCTCCATCAGCTGCTGCTGCACCTTCTGGATCTCCTTCATGCTGCTGCTAAAGAGAAGAATATAGTCCATATAGACCAGAAACAGCACCAGCTTCTCCTCCTCCCCCTTGAGAAAGAGGCTCCCATCACAGCTGCTGGTCCTGAATCCCATCTCCTCATAAACAGCTGCCAACTTCTGGTACCAGCAGCGTGGCGCCTGCTTCAAGTCATAGATGGACTTTTTCAGCTTGCACACCCTGCCCGTACCATCGTGATACCCAGGCGGCTGCATCATGTACACATCCTCCTCTAAAATCCCATTGAGGAATGCCGTAGATATATCCATCTGAATGATGAATTTCCCACTAACGGTTGCATCTGCCAACAAGACACGGAGGGTAGGGGGTTTGGCAGTGGGAGCAAAGATCTCATTGAAGTCCCGATTCTCCTTCTGCATAAACCCCTCAGCCACCAGCCTACTCTTGTAGATGGTGACCTGTCCCTTGTCATCGGTCTTGATCCTTAGCACCCACTTGCACTGTACGGCTTGTTGGTGTAAGGGCCTAATAAACTCAAGCTATTAAGACTTTATCATACTTAAAACCTCTCCTCGGGGTCACCTCCAAGGGTCCTTGGGTGCCTGGTACAAGACCAGCCCCTATTCTCGGGTCCGAGTTTGTAGAGAGAGGGATCAAGAGGGACTTAGTCAAAACAGCAAGAGTACCTTGAACGTCGCGCAGCATATCGTGCAGACCGTCGATCGGATTGAGCTGAGAACTTCCTATATCGAAGCTCACTCTAAGAGCTTTAAAATAAGCCAAGTTGCCTCGCGAAAAGTTCTGCCATTATGAAGTTATGGCTCGGACAGCATTAGCCTAGCGTTGGAGTGCTAGCGTACTAGCGTTGACTCGGGTAGCATGCCGCTGTCGCACCGCGTAGAAACGAATTTCCAGGAAGAGAAGAATTCGCTTGAATCAATTTCACTATATTCAGGTACAAACAGAGAAGAAATAAGTAGCTCTAGCTAGAAAGGACCTTGGGAATCAACCTGGGAACAACCAGGGATGATCCCAAATAATTCCAAGCAACAGAACCAACCTGGCTGGAAAAAATTGCAGGTGGTAGGTTGGTGAACAACCTCTGGTTCTGTTTTTCCAACCTGGGAAAACAACAACCAGGTTCAGGTCCTAAAAACAGAACCTGTTTTGTCTTTGCCCAACCAGCCAAATGCTGGTTCTGCTGGTTTCCCCTGGCCCTGTAGCATGCAGATACAGACAAACAACATCCAACCTTCACCTAAATTGTACCCCTATAGTGCCTGCCCTGCTACACTATAGTCAACCAAACAGAACAGAACAATTTCGAGTTGGATAGAACTGAATCTGCGCAATCAAGTAAGTTGAACCGCAAAGCTTCCATCTTGGGTTCCTTTGCGAGCTCGTCCTTTCTGCTTGTACTGTTCATAGCGCGTACAATGTTATGCCGAAGCGCACATTGTGCGAGTACCTGCAAATGCTTCAAGCGAAAATTGCGAAAGCAAACAAACACACGAACATACCATTCACACGCAAATGCATTCGCACACGCATACTCGTACAAACAGACGGCAGGATGTCGTGCAATGTGAATTTGCACCCAACACACTCCATCTCAGCCTGCCGGCTGCATCCCCATCATTCCATACTAGTTCATGCTCATTCCACTCATGCGCACACAACGCCAATGAGGCTCATCCGCAAGCCTCTTGGTGAGGAAGTCTGCTGGCTGCTGGTGAGTCTTGATGTAGATCGGATTCACCGTCCCCCTCTTCACCTCGTTACGCAACCAGTGCCACTTGATACGCATGTGCTTATTCAGCCCATGAAGCACAGCGTTCCTGGCCATCCCAAGAGCTCCCTTGCTATCACAAAACAGCGGCGTAGCAACCTTTTGCTCCTGGCCAATCTCCTCTAACAGCCTCCTCAGCCAAATCACCTCCTTCACCCCATGGAACATCGCCATGTACTCTGATTCCACAGAAGAGAGTGCTGTCTCCGTCTGCTTCTTTGACCTCCAACTAACAGGTCCTCCTCCAACTACGCAGATGTATCCTCCCACAGATGAGGAATCCTCCTTCTCAGAGGCCCACGTAGCATCGGTAAAGCAAGTGAGAAAGAGCTTGCCTTCTCCAAGCCTCTCCCCCTTCTCTTTCTGCACCTCAACCCCTTTCTGCTTCACCTGTGCAGATGCAGAGTATTGAACTCCAATGCTTGGGTGAGAGTTCAGATACTTCACCACACGCTCAGCTGCATCCATCTGCTCCTCTGATGGATTCTGCACCACCCTAGCCAGCTGCCCAACCGAGAAAGAGATGTCGGGCCTCGTGTGAACTGCTGCATACAAGAGGCTGCCCACCAAGGACTGAAATTGCTGCTGCTCCTCGGCTTCAACCCCTTCATCCTCTGCAGCTTTCACAAGCTTGAATTCTGCTGGCAGGGGGGTTGCAACCTTGCGCTCATTCTCAATTCCGTACTTCTCCCCAAGCTCCTTGATGAACTTCTCCTGGTGCAGCTTCAACCACCTGTGATCCAGATCCCTCTCCACGTGCATCCCGAGGTAGTACTTTACCTCCCCAAGGTTCTTACACTTGAAGTTCTCCATCAGCTGCTGCTGCACCTTCTGGATCTCCTTCATGCTGCTGCTAAAGAGAAGAATGTCATCCACATAGACCAGAAACAGCACCAGCTTCTCCCCCTCCCCCTTGAGAAAGAGGCTCTCAT